TTCCAAAATAGCGTTAGACATTGAACTACAAAAACATTCTGAAAGTATTTGTCCTAAAAAAAAATACATAAATAATATGCAAATTAGCTAATATGTAAAAATAACTTGAACACAGTATGCAAAGGTGGCAAATTTGAGTTTACTATAATAGAGACTTAAGTATTAATTGGTATGCTAATTAGCTAATTAATATGCACACATGAATTACAAAATGTATTTTTCAACACTTGTTTTTTACAAACTAAAAGAGAACAATGTCGTCTGGAACTTCCTTTGTATATTGGTAACAAAACGATCAAGCTTGATGCATAGAAAATACAATTGGAAAGACTTTACAACAATATTTCCTTTATTCCCAGATATTCAGAAATAAACAATTTTTACCATGTTTACCAACACTTTGGCACTATAATCATGAAATATGAAAAATTTGATTTGAAAATTCACAGATTATTATATTGCAAAGTGTGATCAATAAACAACTGGGGTTCAGTCTTCAGTCTTCGGGGTGCTGTCGTATGCAAGATGAATGCATGACCAAGTTTAGATGCAGTTTTTTGTTCCACCTATTGAAGTTAGTATCAAGCTAACTTAATATATCGGATGCATAGACTTTGGGATGAATAAACTTGGTGGACGAATCAACCATCCATTTATTTAATTATTTTTTGACGTTACCGGTACAATTATTTTGCTGCATTAATGGTTTTGTTCGTGAAAGCCAACAAGGATCTTATTTTAATCAGATTGGCAAATTAATATGCACATATTAATTAAAAGTTGTTGATATTGACCTACACAATTGGCAATTGTGTTTCAAATTACAATGTGTTTGTGCAAAGGTGTATAATCAACTTGCTAAAACTGATTATACAAATTACCTAATTGACATGCACAGATTTGTATCAAAATATAATCGGCTCTGGTGTTCATGATGACGTGTTCAATGGAACAAAAAACAAACGAATATATGTATCTTATGTTAGGTCTTGCCAACATTGAACCCAATCAGTGCAACACAAACAAGTTTCTTTTTTGCATAGAGACTATATTCACTTTAATTGTTTTGTTTCTTTTTCAGTGATTAAACTGAAAGGAATGAATCGAAAGTTTACAATTAGTTTTCATTTCTTTATGTGTGGATGCTTTCCATAAAGCATACCTAAGTAATTGATGTCATTATCAGTAACCATGATATTATAATCAACATGTCATCAGTATCCATTATGTCATAATCAACATGTCATCAGTAACCATTGTCATAATCAACATGTCATCAGTATCCATTATGTCATAATCAACATGTCATCAGTAACCATTGTCATAATCAACATGTCATCAGTATCCATTATGTCATAATCAACATGTCATCAGTATCCATTATGTCATAATCAACATGTTATCAGTATCCATTATGTCATAATCAACATGTCATCAGTAACCATTATGTCATAATCAACATGTCATCAGTATCCATTATGTCATAATCAACATGTTATGAGTATCTATTATGTCATAATCAACATGTCATCAGTATCCATTGTCATAATCAACATGTCATCAGTATCCATTATGTCATAATCAACATGTCATCAGTATCCATTATGTCATAATCAACATGTCATCAGTATCCATTATGTCATAATAAACATGTCAT